GAGTGTGCAAATGCATAGTCATTACGTGCATGGCAAGACTGCCCAAGACCGTCGTAAAAATAGAGTACAGCCGCAGCGACTGCTGGCAGAAGGGCAAATGAGCTTCTCTGCATTGTGCGATGCTGTGAAACATCGTCTGAGTAATGCCGATTGGCTTGACGAAGACGAAGTTGATGCAAGTGGTTTAACAATTCCGGAATCCGCTCCGTCTGCTCTCCGGATGCCAGTAATGAAAGAGTCTGAGTGGCCGGCAAACCCGTGGACAGATGAATAGTAACTCCAATTAAATTGATCTTTTTTTACATACCTACGTATTTTAATTATGGCTGTTTTTATTTTAAATTTTTAGCTAAGAATACAATTTTATTTTGACTAAAATGTTTCATTTCAATTAGGTTTCTATTGCATTGCCAAAGGTTAAAATAAATATGTTATTACTAAAACAGGAGAATGCATGAGAAGACCTTGGTGGATTAAGCCAAAAATGTATGTGAGGAAAGGGCCAAGTCAGAAAAACGGCGTAATTAAATGTAAAGTTAGCAGTAAAAATTTATTAGGACGAATTTTAGCCCATTTTAACATATTTAAAACTTAAGCAAATGTTTATTACATTATGTGTGATTATTTATTAAATAACAATGTGAATAAATAAAATAAACAATATACGCATCTATTACGATTTTTAAGAGATTTCTTATCTCTTGTTTTATTTATTATTACCGCAAACGCGATTAAAACAATAACAATGTTATTTTAGCGACTTTCCGGTACTTTGCACAACATAATTGTCACTTTTAGTTAAAAATGTTCACTTGGGTGTTACGTAACGTTTAGGGAGGGGGAGGGGGGGTCCAGATAAACGTTACGGCGCATTACATAGGGGGGCGGGAGGGTCAAAAATCTTCAAAAATTGCGTTACGTAATACTTGAACGCCCCCTAAGTGGATGCTGTGCCTATCATCGATTAGGGATTAAAATGCAGTTGCGTCGTCACCCCTGGAGACTAAGAATGTCCTATAATGATGAATAAAGTGGCGCTAGAATGTCCCGATACCATTAAAAAAGCTTCTTCTGCAATTCTCATTATTCTTCTGTTATACACGCTGGTATTCTGTGAGATCGTGGCCCTACCCCGGTCGAGCCGACCCATTCGTGCAGTAAATTCGTGCAGTGCTGTATCACGTAAAAATGGTTAAATGGTTAGTACGGTTAATAGACACCTTTCTATAGAAGTTAGTAGTGGATATTGAGACATGATGGTACATGAGGGACGGTAAAATAGCATCATAGTGATGCTTTCGTATAGTAAGAGGGCCACCATAATATTTTTACCATCAGGTGGATTATGTGCTAACTGTTCATATCCTTACTTCTATTATATGTATATATTATCACCATCACTTTTACTTTCAGGTTATGGGTCATTCGGCAAAGAAAGACAACGAGAGCGCAGCCCTTACAGAAACACAACTAAAGAATTATAACCTCACTTATTTAGACGCTAGCAATCCCATAGGTGACTCCCTCGAGAACGATGCAGACTTCATTAAAAATATAGAAGAATTTAAAAACAGTTTGTCTTTTGTACACGTGCCTCAAATCGAATTAGCACAATGTTAAAATATATTTTTTAAACGAAAAATTAGCTGCAAATAAAAATATTTAATGAAATAGACAATAAAAACAAGACAGTTGATAACACCGGTAAAATTTACAAGGTTTAAAAATCAAGAATCACCTTATAAATGAAAATGGTGCTGCTAACTAAAACCACCTGTTTACAACACAAATATAAACCCGAATTATATATTGTTTAAACCATCTTCCTGATAAGTTGTAGCTAAACAGTATACTAAATAGAATAAAATTCATAAATTTATTGCTTTAGAACATTGTGTATATCGAGAAATATATTAATTAATATATAATTATTAAAGAAATTGAGATTTATTACAGTAAATATGTTTGTGTACTTAGGGTATATTGGTTATATGACACCTGTGGTCGCAGAATTTACAGGTACGAAGATAAAATGTGTTTTGTGCTTGAAAAAAAAAGAAAAAGTTCTTCACGTCATATTATCCTCAAATATTTATACACTGTTGTATAATTTAATTATTTATTGAAAAAAAGTAGCTTTTTTAACATTTGACGTTTCTGTTTACTTGAATTATTTATCTATATTATCTTTAAAAACGTAAAAATTGTGTTTAAGCTTTTTTGACAATAAAGTCATTGCAATGAACATAATAATGTAACTCAGCAAGGACAGCTTACAAAAAGGGTTTAGTCTGAAATAATATCTGATGGGAATATTAATTGGTACATTACATTATACTTCAAAAAATACCTATTTGTCTTTTAATTATGATTTTGAAACAATGCGATAATTCACGACGAGAAATTCTGTAATTAAACATATTAATTTCGGTGTTATTGATAATACCAATTCAAAACTGGTTTCATTCATATATATTTTATATTAAAACTACTGTTGCATAAATTTGTACAAAAATATTACATGAGGTGTTTTATTGTTACGAAACATTTTTGGTGCTACACAAGGAACCAACGGGTTATTTCGTTTGTCCACCCTAGGGTGGACACTCGAAAACGCGTGTTCATCTATCCATCCCAGACAGGGTGGACACTCGGAAACGCGTGTTCATCTATCCATCCCAGACAGGGTGGACACTCGGAAACGCGTGTTCATCTATCCATCCCAGACAGGGTGGACACTCGGAAACGCGTGTTCATCTATCCACCCCAGACAGGGTGGACACTCGGAAACGCGTGTTCATCTATCCATCCCAGACAGGGTGGACACTCGGAAACGCGTGTTCATCTATCCATACCAGACAGGGTGGACACTCGGAAACGCGTGTTCATCTATCCATCCCAGACAGGGTGGACACTCGGAAACGCGTGTTCATCTATCCATCCCAGACAGGGTGGACACTCGGAAACGCGTGTTCATCTATCCACTCCAGATTTTATTCAGGTTGTTTAATGCCAAGATTCCAATGAGTCTGTAATCCTTTTATTTCAGCGTATGTATGCTAACGTCTACTTAGTATCTTGGGCCAGTTTTTATCATGTTTCTATAAATGACTGTACACAGCCGAGGGAGAAAATTGGAAGAAAAGTAATATACGGATTCCGATTATCCCCGTCTGGGGTGGATAGATGAAAACGCGTTTACGAGTATCCTCCCTAGGGTGGATCTTTTAGGATGGATAAACGGAATAACCCGACAAAAGTAAGTTGACTATTTTAATTATACGCTAGTATCCGACTGTAATTGAGTGATATTGAGTGATAAATAAAATAACCTTGATATACAGTCACTGTTCAGTGTAGATTAGTATTCGTTTTGTTAATGTGTTTTTATTGTATATTTTTTATTTTAAATTTAAAATTTTTCACTTCCAAAGTGACTTACCAGGTCAAGTTCCAATTGGAACAAATACTTTTGTTGTGAAACAAACTCTTATTTTATAATAAATGTTAACTCAACTGATTCTTTATGAATAAATTATAAAGTATAATAATAATTGTAATGTAAATATAGATAGATATATGTAACACAAAGGATCAAATAAAACAAAACATCCTCACAGATTGTTTTTATTTTCCACTTTATAATTATAATCTACACTCAAAGCTCCTATTCTTTGTTTTAGTAAGTGCATATAAAAATATGCCATATGTGAGCAGCTCTGAAATCACTCTGCGTTGTTCTACATAACTACCACATTGTCGCCACACGACTGTTTAGACTAAAAAGTAGTGATTACATACTCTTTGGTTTTAAAAACCGAAAATTCGAAAATAAAAAGTTTAAAAAAATGTTCGTAAAATGTATTAATACTAGCCAGCTAGTATGTAGCACAGAGGCTTTACTCTAGGTATATAGGTAATTATTATTTAAAAACGAATAACATATTATTAAAACAAAAAAAAACATGACTACAGTGATCCAAGATAAAATATATAACATAAAAAAATATTAACTTAAAATATTTGTAATGTATTCATTTTTTTTATGCATTACTTTTAGGTCACGAATTTTTGACAGTTCATGACAGCCACTTTCATTATATTATACTGATGAGTGATGAGATTTTTTGAGATTTGAGTGATGAAAGTTGTTCTAAAACGTGTAATAAAAGTTACATGCGAGAATGACCAATCATTTATCAAAATCTAACAACTACATACACATACACCCATGCGGTTAAAGAATGGGATTTAAAATGGATCCGCTGGTAAAGACTGAAAAAAAATACGTTGCGATATGCGTTTATCGGTACGTTCTATAACATCAGTCCGACTTGTCATTGGAATCAACGATAACAAATTCCCGTAAACTACAAAAAACCTGTGTGTGTGTGTGTGTGTCCGCGTGTGCGCGTGTGCGCGTGTCGCGTGTGCGTGTGTGTGTGTGCGTGTGTGTGTGTGCGTGTGTGTGTGTATGTGACGACGCGTTCTGAGAGTTTTCTTCATATTGTTGATTTTGTTTGTTAATATTTTTGTATAAAATATTAACAGGAGTGATTTATACTAAATTTTATCCGATAAATCTAGAGGTTTTATTAAAATAGAAATATTGATATTTTATGTATTGAAATGGTATTTAATAATAATAATAAATCTAAATAATGCAGCACATTTAAAATAATAATATATAAATATTAATATTTTTATATAAATATTTTATTATTTATATAAAAATATATAAATATTTTCCCATTAATAGAAAATTATCAATTAACCGGATAATATAACGATATACCGTTGTTGTCGGGTTTGCGCTATTGGTACCGTGAATGTTGATGGTACGGGCTCGATAAGCCACCATTTCTAATCCCACTCTTTATCCGTACGGACTATAGCTAAAATATTACACTTTTTATTGGGCTCCCTTGCTTAAAATACACGGTAGGTGTAGGTATAAGAATATCTATCACTTATTAAAAGAAATATATTTTTATTTTCAATTAATACACGATTTCTATCCGTCCGTCCAAATCTTGTAGGATAGTGCCCTGCTTCCTCATGTGACGCTGAAGCAGCACGTAATCCACCCCTAAATTTTCTACGTTTTCTCTATTTTCGGACAGCATCTGTAGAATAATATACTGTCTGATTTTTACAATATAGAACACAGGTGAAAGAATGCAATGTACACAATAGTAGATAAAGCAGTTACGAGTATATACAATTATTGTAATTACGATATCATAAGATAAGCATCTAAACTACATTTGTGGGAATGGTCAGACTATACCAGAAACACAGTAATGATTAGATTATTTTCGGCGTCATATATAGGTACCTACTCGTATCATTATTTGCCAATTATCGTAGAATTTGCTTATGAAATATAAAGAACTTATGAAATTTATTCGTGGTAGAGCCATGCTGCAGCTATATTAGTAGTATAGTTGTAGCACGAATGGGTCGTCTCGACCGGGGAAGGACTACGCTCTCACAGAATACCAGCGTAAAAGCAGCTTGATACTGCTGTATTTCGTATGGTGAGTGTAGAGAACCGGCTACCCATTTTACTGGAAAAGAGGCATTCCATCTTAGTCGTCACGGGTGACGACGCATCTGCATTTTGATTCTTTATTGAGGATAAATGTGATGTCTATGGGTCACAGCAACCACTTACCATCAGGTGGACTGTGTGCTCGTTTGTCACCCTATCCTATAAAAAAAAAACATAATCCATCAAATGATATATGTGTTTATAACCACAGAACTAGACATAGTCATATGTGTAATTAACTCAGAACAATAACTAAAGCAGTAATTAATAATTATTATACATATGGTTATATCGAACACAGGTGAAAGACTGACTCTGTCACTGATGTGGTGCTACAGGGAATGTAACTAAGGGGTGTTTTTTTAAGCTAGATAGAACTTTAAATTGTAAAAAGTAACACAAAAAATTAAATTTTGATGTAATATTTTTTTTTTATCGTTTCAGTATACTCTGACAAATCATCATGAATAGACTCACGCTTGAACAACGCTACGAAATTATCCAAATTTACTTTGAAAATCAGTCGTCGATTCGCGCAACTTATAGACGACTTCGTCATTTTTATGGCGTACATAATCGTCCATCTGAACAAGCCATTCGTCGAACTGTGGATAGATTTCGTACCACATACTCTCTAGAGGATGCAATAACACCAACACGTCGAAGGAATGTGCGTACTGAAGAGAATATCGCCGCTGTAAATGAAAGTGTGGAAGAAGATCCAAATTTATCGATTCGTCGTCGGTCGCAGGAATTGGGGCTCTGTCCGTCCACTACGTGGAAAATTTTGCGCAAAGATCTCGGCCTACACCCGTATAAGATCCAGCTGGTCTTCAGCGTCGTTCTTTCGCCGATTGGGCTCTAGAGCAGTTGGCAACTGACCCGTTGTTTTATCGCAAAATTGTGTTCAGCGATGAGGCGCATTTTTGGCTTAACGGGTTTGTTAATAAGCAAAATTGCCGCATATGGAGCGAGACCAATCCACAAGAGACCCTACAGACTCCATTACATCCAGAAAAATGCACCGTTTGGTGCGGTTTTCACGCTGGTGGCATCATCGGACCTTATTTCTTCAAAAATGAGGCCGGAGCTCGCGTTACGGTCAATGGAGATCGTTACCGCACCATGATCAATGATTTTTTGTTTGAAAATATGGATGACATTGATCCGGAGGAGATGTGGTTTCAACAGGATGGCGCTACGTGCCATACGGCGAACGCAACCATCGACTTATTGAAATCAAAATTTGGCGATAAGTTGATTTCGAGAAATGGACCTGTCAATTGGCCTCCAAGGTCGTGCGATTTGACACCTCTCGATTATTTCCTGTGGGGCTACGTAAAGTCACTGGTTTATGCTGATAAACCAGCAACAATTGACGCCTTGGAGGCCAGCATTGTTCGTGTTATTCGTGACATACGGCCAGCAGTGCTCGAAAAAGTGGCCCAAAATTGGACGTGCAGAATGCGCTTCGTCAAGAACAGCCGCGGTGCCCATATGCCCGAAATCATTTTCAAATGTTAATGTCACGTATTGATCTTTCGAATAAAAAAAAATTTTGATTACAATTTAATTTTTTGTGTTATTTTTTACAATTTCAAGTTCTATCGGGCTTAAAAAAACACCCATTATTTATTCCATCATCTGTGGTACCCATCGGAGGCAGATCTCAGACTTGGTGTGGTCGCTCCTGTAAGACTGCTTTACGCAGTAAGCAGGAGTGTTATCAAGCTTGGGCTGCGGCTTCGGCGACTCGGGATGTAAACACCAGAATACTTAAAAAGAAGATTAACTTCGCCTCCAGGTCCTTCAAAAGAGTTATTGCCAAGGCAAAGTCAGAGCACATAGGCAGAATTGGCGAGAAACTAGTTCGCCTTCCTTCGAGAACCCGTGCATTCTGGTCTCTCGCCAAGGCTGTCCAAGGGAATTTCTGTAAGCCATCACTACCATCTCTGCACAGGGAGGACGACTCACTGGCCCACGATGCAAAAGAGAAAGCCGACCTTTTAGGCTCCCTTTTTGCGTCCGACTCGACTGTTGATGACGGGGGGAACACACCGCCGACCATCCCGCGGTGTGAATGCTCCATGCCGGATGTGCGGTTCTCACAGCGCTCGGTTCGCAAAGCACTCCTCTCCCTGAACATCCACAAGTCGAGTGGGCCTGACGGAATCCCCCCAATTGTGCTGAGGACGTGTGCTCCGGAGTTGGCACCGGTTCTAACGCGTCTTTTCCGGTACTCCTACTCCCTAGGCGTAGTCCCGAAATCATGGAAGATAGCTTTTGTCCACCCGATCCCTAAAAAAGGCGACCGCTCAGACCCGTTCAACTACAGGCCTATCGCCATCACCCCCTTGTTCTCCAAAATAATGGAATCCGTTATATACTGCCACCTCATGCGGTACCTTGAGGATCACCAGCTGATTAGTGACCGCCAGTACGGTTTTCGTCGGGGTCGATCAGCTGGTGATCTGCTGGTCTACTTAACTCATAGATGGGCGGAGGCAGTAGAGTCCAAGGGGGAGGCATTGGCCGATAGTTTGGACATTGCGAAGGCCTTCGATCGGGTTTGGCACAAAGCGCTTCTTTCGAAGCTCCCTTCCTATGGGCTTCCCGAGAAATTATGCAATTGGATCACCAGCTTTCTTGCAAATCGGAGCATCAAGGTCGTTGTAGATGGTGCATGCTTCGACTACAAGCCTATTAACGCTGGTGTTCCACAAGACTGCGTGCTATCACCAACGCTGTTTCTTCTGCATATCAATGATATATTGCAAGCCGGTAGCATTCATTGCTATGCGGATGACAGCACTGGTGATGCTCTATACACCGGCCGTGCCAATATTTCTCGGGAAAACGTCACCGAGTACCGGAACAAACTTGTGTCTGAAGTCGAGTCTTTGCTGGACAAAGTCTCGGATTGGGGGCGACTAAATCTAGTCCAGTTTAATCCTCAGAAGATACATGTTTGCGCGTTTACCGCTAAAAAGAACCCCTTTGTCGTATCTCCTTAGTTTCAAGGTACTCCTTCGTAACGTACTTCCTTCGGGAACTCGTGCATTCTGGTCTCTCGCCAAGGCCGTCCAAGGGAACTTCTGTCAGCCATCCCTTCCATCCCTGCACAGAGAGGACGACTCACTGGCCCATGCCGCAAAAGAGAAAGCCGATCTGTTGTGCTCTCTTTTTGCGTCTAACTCGACTCTAGATGACGGGGGGAACACACCGCCGACCATCCCGCGATGTGAGTGCTCCATGCCGGATGTGCGATTTACACAGCGCTTGGTTCGCAAAGCACTCTTCTCCCTGGACGTCAGCAAGCCGAGTGGGCCCGATGGAGTCCCTCCCATTGTGCTGAAGACGTGTGCTCCGGAGTTGGCACTGGTTTTAACGCGTCTTTTCCGGTACTCCTACTCCCAAGGCGTAGTCCCGAATGCATGGAAGAATGCTTTGGTCCACCCGATCCCTAAAAAAGGCGACCGCTCAGACCCGTCCAACTACAGGCCTATCGCCATCACCTCCTTGTTCTCCAAAATAATGGAATCCATTATAAACTGCCAGCTCATGAGGTACCTTGAGGATCACCAGCTGATCAGTGACCGTCAGTACGGTTTTCGTCGGGGTCGATCAGCAGGTGATTTTCTAGTTTACTTAACTCATAGATGGGCGGAGGCAGTAGAGTCTAAGGGGGAGGCATTGGCCGTTAGTTTGGACATAGCGATGACCTTCGATCGGGTCTGGCACAAGGCGCTTCTTTCGAAGCTTCCTTCCTATGGGCTTCCCGAGAAATTGTGCAAATGGATCACCAGTTTCCTTGCTGATCGGAGCATCAAGGTCGTAGTAGACGGTGCATGCTCTGATTTCAAGCCTATCAACGCTGGTGTTCCACAAGGCTGCGTGCTATCATCAACGCTGTTTCTCCTGCATATCAATGATATGTTGCTAACTGGTAGCATTCATTGCTATGAAGACGACAGCACTGGGGATGCCTTATATACCGGCCGTGCCAATATTTCTCGGGAAAACGTCGCCGAGTACCGGGACAAACTTGTGTCTGAAGTCGAGTCTTTGCTTATCAAAGTCTCGGATTGGGGCCGACTAAATCTAGTCCAGTTCAATCCCCAGAAGACACAAGTTTGCGCGTTTACCGCTAAAAAGAACCCCTTTGTCGTATCTCCTCAGTTTCAAGGCACTCCCCTTGCTGCCTCAGCCAGTATCGGAATCCTTGGCGTCGACATATCGAATAGCGTGCAGTTTTGTGGTCACTTGGCCTCTAAAAAGCTTGGCGTGCTCAGCAGAGCGAGACAGTATTTCATGCCGGCACATCGCTTGCAACTTTACAAAGCGCAAGTTCGGCCCCACATGGAATACTGTTCTCATCTCTGGGCCGAGGCTCCCCAGTGCCAGCTCCTTCCACTTGACCGCATCCAGCGCAGAGCGGCTCGAATCGTCGACGACCGAGTCCTTTCCGATCGGCTCGACTCATTGGCACGGCGAAGAGATGTTGCATCTCTTTGCATTTTCTTTCGCATTTACCATGGGGAGTGCTCTGAGGAATTGTTCGGATTAACTACAGCCGCCAAATTTCACGAACGCACATCGCGGCAGAACTCCCGATACCATCCACACCATCTGGATGATTGGCGGTCCACCACTGTGCGATTTAGAAGATGTTTTCTTCCTCGCACAACTTCCTTGTGGAATAGTTTACCACCAGCGATTTTTCCGGACCGATACGACTTAGGGACCTTCAAGAAAAGAGCCTACTCCTTTTTAAAAGGCCGGCAACGCATCTGCAATTCCCTTGGTGTTGCGGTTGTTCATGGGCGGCGGTAGTCACTTAACATCAGGTGAGCCGCATGCTCGTTTACCCCCTCTCCTATAAAAAAAAAATCCTTTTATTGCCTTTGTATTTTTCAGATGTAGATCGAAAAAGACAGACAAAGAAGTGTTATTTTTTAAAACGTTAATTAAATAAAAACGTTACGTATTTGTAAAACTTATTTTCAATGAGTCAATTCTAGGGCTCCTGCACGCCGCATCAGGCGCCGCCAGCAAACCGAACATTATGTACGCTAAGATGTTTTTTTTTTAATACGTAATAGCTATTTTGACATTTTTGCGTGTTTTGCCTGACATTAGGAAGGAGTAAATAATAATCTGTTAGGTAACGTCTGGTTAGGTAACACCGTCTTAACTATTTTTGCCGTCAAGCAGCAGTAAAAGCACGGTCTGAAGGATGAAGAGCCAGGATAATTACGGACTGTAGTGCATTCTATCTTTGTCCTCATTAGTGACACATCTGTTGCCTTCTTTGTTTTGTTATAGGTGTACATCGACTGCAGAACAAAAACATACAAAGTTGCTGCTTGTTCTACTAACGTCAGGAACCATCCTAACCTTTGCTGAAGTGATTAATAGCTAGTAGACATTGCTTGTTGTCATCAGTCACGCGCGGCGCATATTGCGAAAGTTTCACATTGTGGCAATCCGAAGGTGCGAAACGGGCAAATATGCGCAAATTTTTTTTACTTTAATTTAATGCATATAATGTTGACAATATTGACATTGAAAACTGATCTGCGCATCGCCCAAGGCATGCCGACTCGAAGACTGTTTTAAAACTATAGCTGTCCATCATACTTACCGAAAACCCACTTCCGCCTTCGCCGATATAATTCTGCGTGAGCACGCGGTAAGTTTTGTTTACGTCGAGCGGCTCGTAACGCGGTACGTCACATTCAATGCAGCGTACACTCGCAGACACAACGCGCGATCCAGCCAAGGCGGATGCGTTATATACGTTACGCATACCTGGATATAAATAAATGCAAATACACAGTTTTATCGTTCATATTGTCATTAGCTTGTGAACAGTCCAGGGCTGGATATGAGTCTTTCCGATATTAAGCTAACTGTTACGCTTGACAGCTAGGGTACAACTGTATTAAACCTAAAGGCTAAACACACTGAAAAACTATTTTCTTACAAAACGAAATAATCAAATATTTTGCACTATTTGGACCGATATTTAAGGCCTGAATTGCTCCTACGCTGACGTCGGTCGCGCGTACTAATGTACATTGTGTTTTATATAGCCCCACACTACGACGCTGATGACAGCGGCGAGTAGTTTGCTACGTACGCGTACGCGACCGACCGTACGCAACCGACGTCAGCGTAGGAGGAATTCAGGCTTTAGACCGTGAAGCCCACCGTCTGCCAAGCGTAGCAACTATGACAAATATCCACCTATGATGCAGATTTAAGAGATTTTTTTTAATTTAAAATAAGGATAACAAGCGAGCACACAGCCCACCTGATGGTAAGTGGATACTGTGGCCCATAGACATCTACATCTATTATCGATTAAGAATCAAAACGCAGATACGTGCCACCCCTGAGGACTAAGATGGAATGCCTCTTTTCCAGTAAAAAGGGTCTCCGGTTCTCTACATTCATCATACGAAAAACAGCAGCATTAAGCAACTATTTACGTTGGTATTCTGTGAGGGCGTGGTCCCACCCCGGTCGAGGCGACCCATTCATACTACAACCATAATATAGCTGCAGCATGGCTCTGCCACGTTAAAAATTGTAATGAATGAATATAATTTTTAAGACCACGCTTAGGCTTACGCCGTCCTAATCCCATAGAACATAAAAAAACAGGTATTTTCTATTCCGATTACCGCGTTTGGCTTCGGTCTGTACGGTAGCTGCCCGCAACTGTATACGTAAAGCCGCATATGAGGCAAAGTAGCGTACCTAAGGAAAGCCTATGTCAATCGGACAAATTGATTATGATGATATAATATCCAATAGGTTTATGGATCATTAAAGATACCTTGCTTTGCATTTTAAGCGATTTTAACGATGCTCGAATATGATGGATTTACTTACAAAAATAGTAACTCAACTGCAACATGTACTTCCCTTACCCTCCACTATCTACTTCCACTACCCTGCACTTCCTTGCTTTAGAGTTACAATTTGTATAGGTACGTCCTACTGCTAGGCACATGGCTCCTCCCACTTCTGAGAGGGTATTAGGGCAAGGGAATCTCCACCGTGCTGTCCCATTTTTTAAATATTTCTCATACGTGTACATAAGCGTATTACTTACCTCCAATCTGCAGCATACGACTGCTATAGAAAGATCCGGGTGTTGTTTGTGTTACATTGATCGAAAATTCTAGCGCTTGCAGAAGGTACTCGCCCTTGAGATCGTAAACTTCAACGTAATTCTCAAAAGGGATGGACATCAAAAGGACTTCTGTTGTCACGTCTGTAGACAAATTATTGACTATTGAATGTAGGTAAAATTTAAAATACTATTTTGCAGCAATAGATGAATATGAAATGAAAATGACCATAAAACAAAGAAGAAAATATGGACATGAACTATGACCATGAGAATTTTGATGAAGAACTGATGAAACAGAGAAGATCCGTCGCACTAATCTTGTACAAGTGTACAAAACTTTACGTCTTCGAAATATTTGAAAATATGTTCTACCGGGGTGGGACCACGCTTGCACAGAAGACGAACTTGAAAGAGCAGCACAATGCTGCTGAGATTCAAATGATAAGTGACTTAAAACTTAGACTTCTTTTACTGGTAAAGAAGCATTTCATCTGCGTTTTTTTTTTGTAGGATAAGGGTGACAAGCGAGCACACAGTCCACCTGATGGTAAGTGGTTGCTGTGGCCCATAGACATCTACATCTATCTTCGTTTGCGAATCAAAATGCAGATGCGTTGTCACCTGTGAGGGCTAAGCTGGAATGCCTCTTTTCCAGTAAAAAGGGTCTTCGGTTCTCTACACTCACCATACGAAACACAGCAGTGTTAAGCTACTATTTTATGCTGGTATTCTATGAGAGCGTGGTCCTTCCCCGGTCGAGCCGACCCATTCGTGCTACAGCTATACTACTAATATAGCTGCAGCATGGCTCTACCACGTTTAAACTCTTTTTTGAAGTTAGATGAAGGTGTCTGTCTATTAGGCCACAAAATCCATATTTACTATTAGGTGCCCTTTGCGTTAAAAAAGTTTTCTTCACCGAGGAGTTTTCCTTCACTTAAAGATCAACTACAAGACAGCGGCGTACGAATATCTACTTCCTCATATTATCCCGCAAGTGTGGTAAGATACTTGTAGTACCTGACAGTTATTCCAGATATTAAATTAAGAAAAAAAATTGAGGCAAAAAAAAAAACAATTTGCTCAGGTTTGGTTGTTGTTCCCATGTTTTTGATTCTATCGTTCTTTTTTTTTATCACATGAACACATCAAGCGTGATATGGCACAAGTAGATTGTTGAACATTGATACACTTAGGAAGTGACAAGGGCGGTACGTCAATTAGACAAGCTAGTTAATTGAACACTGCTTTAATTAGACAGCGACCGTTCGGTGGGTGATGCAGCCCGCACACACTTACACACATAGATTTACACAACATAGATCAACACAAATAAGTAACTATGTGTAGACGCGTACACTACAATTTATTCTTTTACATAACTTGACAGTATCAGGAAATTGTCACCCGGTCAAAATCGCCCAGAAGATCATCATCACCTCCTATTTGCAAAAGATTGTAATTAAACTCAAAATTCCTATTCACATTCGCTGCTTTAGACACACTTAACGAAATCTTAAACAGCTATTAGTGTTAGCGGCGGTGTAAGAATATCCACTACTCCATCATACCACGGGTTTCGTAAGAGACGACAGAGGGAAATTGAACAGGAGATGGGCTGCAGCATCTTTCTGATAACAATTAAAAATAATTAAAAACTGCCAAGCTTGGCTTAGTACCACAGTTATTGAAACGGTAGTGTTATGAAGAACGTTTGAAAGTTATACAACTTACAACATTAAAAAACAGCAGGGACCGAGGAGATCTAATTGAGACCTTTAAGATCTTAAGTGGACATTACGACATTGAGGAGTTTGGCAAATTGTTTATTCGTAATGAAAAGACTCACCTCGGGGACTACCATCTTAAGCTATGTATCAGCTTTTCAAACAACAACCCTCATACGCATTTCATCTGTAACCGTATAGTCACCGAGTGGAATAAGCTGCCAGAGAACGTAGTCTCAGCCCAAAATGTGAACCAATTCAAAAATAGATTAAATAATCATTTTCTGAACTGCAAAAGGAGTAACTGGTGGGCACAAACAGGATACAGGCGTCATCAGTTGTTTCAACTGCTAGCCTGCTAATATATAATAATAATAATAATAACTATAGCAAATGTCCCCTTCTACGAGGCAGTCGATGAGATCCTATGAGAGACTTTCAATAGACTTTTATGATGATAATGATGATGAAAGCTATAATAATATTTATTCTGGGGTACCATATAGTAGATTTGCCGAATTTATCCTTTTTCGTGTTCTTCAATATGATAAAAAAATAGTTAAAATATGATTAAAATCCGAGCTAAGAACAAAAATTTTAAATATTACCCCCAGGATTTATTTGCATTCTGAGACCGCCCGCATTCATCATGCAAACGTGCACGTCGTTCCAAGCGTTGCCCGATGCTCTTTCCATCACCTGAAAGGTTATCGTATGTCATATGGCGTATATATTTCATTGTAGTAGCGAAGTAAGATAATCCATCTCTACATTTCGTCACGCAGTTGTCGTAAGAGGTCTATTGGAAAGGTCAGAATTTTATTTAAAACTAGCGCACTTCTCTCGCGTGTAATTTAGGGTTTTAATTTTTTTGCCGGAATCCTAATTCTTATTCTAAAATAAAAGTAGCTTAAGTTACTCCTTATAACATCAGCTATCTACCAGTGTAGGTAAGTCCCGTCAAAATCGGTCCAGCCCAAAGAGATTTAAATATATAGGCATACTATAGAGAGGACATTGGGAACATTTATATACAAAAACTTTGAGCTAGTGCGCGTATGGCACCCTCTAGCTAAAAATAGCAAAACAACGCTAAGCATTTATTAAGACAACATTTTAGCTATTCCCCAGTAGGTGACGCTAATAAATATAACCTCGTTTTAGGAATGTTACCGTTTCGATATTAAAGTATCGATTTGTTGAAGATTACTAAGTTTAAAATTAAAATTTTCGATATAATAATAAGAAATATACATGATTGTTTTATAACTAAAATTGGTAACTAAATAGTAACGTTTACTGGATAACAGAGGGCGCTTATTACAATAAAAATAAATGTTCTAGAACAATCTACTAGAAATTATAAAATTTAAAGATTATTCGGTAAATATATATTATATTTACGATGATAAACCGATATCACGTTCATTTTTTGCTCCATATCGTGACTTACAATATCTTAATGCACAACCGGGCATATTTTCTTTAAAAATATTTTTTAAATATATGAACGAATGCGTCTTGACTTTTTGACGATGTCACTAAGACTAAATGACTAAAATCGGAGATGTATCCTATAGGACATAAGTCACAGACGACAATTATTTTGCTACTGATGTCCGGTCTATTACTACTACTACTACTTAAATGTCTTTGGTCCAGCCGTTTCGGAGATTAGCCGGAACAAACAGACAGACGAAAATTAAAAAAATGTGTTTTTGTTATAAGTAACGTATATAATAAATAAAAATAAAATAAAATACATTACTAAATAGTAAAAACTGTTATTTTGACATAAACAGACTCTTCAATTTTATTTATTTGTATAGATTTATTTGTTGAAACAAACTTAGGTAGGTAGAATGCCAATTATTTAATATTGTTACGAGCTTAGGGTTCGAGACAATTAAAAACTGACATTTTAGTTACGGAACACTAATTACAACTTAAAACCACACTAATAACAAAACACACTTGTACTACTGATCACTTTAGTTCGCAGTTGTATCGTTTCGAAGTATTTGCTTGTATCGCCAATTCAATACTGACCCGGTCGCGGTCTATACCGGCCTTATATAGGGCCTTAGCTAATTTCCAGAACTTTCTACTATAAAAACTTCTAGAATGTTCGCGTACATATCGGTCCCGATTGACTAGGTGTCGATAGTTCTAGAAAGTTATTTCATGGAAATTTATAGAAGGATCTTGACTCTCCTAGTTCTGCTACTCGATTCTAGAGGGCGCTAGTGGTAACTAGTGTTGTCATGTACCTTCCATTAATTGTGGCGCGCAACAATATGACTTCCGATAGGTGGCAGTATACCATCTCGCTTACATTCGACGTAAAATACTCAGACAGGCGACGGGCATCAGCATCAAAGATGCGAGATATACCGGCTAAAGCAGATTATATGGATTAATGGCATACAGGAATCCGCTTGAATTTTGAGTGCGTTGCAGTTTTAGTGAGGCTTATTTGCGCTGCTTAGCTAAATAGCTGAAAAAGTTTTTATCAGACATATAGGCACAGGCACTACTTTCATAACTTTTCTACTTTTCTACGTGTTATAGCCATGCTGCAGCTATATTATGGTTGTAGCACGAATGGGTCGGCTCGAACGGGGAAGGACCACGCTCTCACAGAAAACCAACGTAAAATAACAGCTTAACGCTGCTGTGTTTCGTATGGTGAGTGTAGAGAATCGGAGACCCTTTTTACTGGCAAAGAGGCATTCCATCTTAGTCCTCACGGGTGACAACGCATCAGCATCTTGAGTCTTTATTGAGGATAGATGTAGATGTCTATGGGTTACAGTAACCACTTACCATCAGGTGGACTGTTTGCTCGTTTGTCACCCGATCCTATCACACCATAGGTGATGGGTGCTTGTATAGTACTCATCACTCCATAAGTTATTATGGCTTCTGATATGTAACAGTATATCATTCATAAAGATAGAGATCTAAAAACTTCAGTTGATGCTGAATCATTGTTGGAGGAGAATCGATCCATTAAAAGTAAAGAAAATGATGCAAATCCACTTTACACACCAGGTCAAATACTCAGTTGAATACCAAAAACTTATAATAAAAAAGGTCAGTTATAATTAAACTTAATTGAAACAAGTAAAAGTAAAATACATTGGGATAATGAAGGCACAGTCATAATAGATAATCAAAAAATTCTTGGAACTAATATTGTTGATTTAATAAATGAATCACTAAGACCCTTAAAAAGAAGTGATCCGATAGAGTGGGATAGATTTGCTAAAACATCAAAAGATATTAAAGTACCACTTACTTATACTGGAAATCCAAAGAGATGTGTTTATTAACCAGCTTCAAGCAAAAGATCTGAACAAACATCTGAGATTGAAGTTCAATAGTTTACTACACCGAGCAATGGAGATACAAAATCTATAACTAAAATAGAGTTTTCTACATCGAGCAGTAGAGATAAAAAATCTATAACTAAAATACGTAAAAACGTTGATTGGGAAAAATGGACCCCATACTAGAAGAAATTAACAGGATTTATTATGATCCAATTAATCCCGCTGGTTTTGGTAGTATTGATAAATTATCAAAAGCCATGAAGGGTAAAATGGATAAAAAGCAAGTAAAGGAATGGTTACAATCACAAGAAACTTACACATTACATAAACCCATTCGAAAACAATTCCCGCGTAATAGGTACATTCTATCAAATAATTTGGTCCACCCGATCCCTAAAAAAGACGACCGCTCTGCTCAGACCCGTCCAACTACAGGCCTATCGCGATCACCTCTTTGTTCTCCAAAATAATGGAATCCATTATAAACTACCAGCTCATGAGATACCTTGAGGAGCACCAGCTGATTAGTGACCGCCAGTACGGTTTTCGTCGGGGTCGATCAGCTGGTGATCTTCTGGTCTACCTGACTCATAGATGGGCGGAGGCAGTAGAGTCCAAGTGGGAGGAATTGGCCGTTAGTTTGGACATAGCGAAGGCCTTCGATCGGGTCTGGCACAAAGCGCTTCTTTCGAAGCTTCCTTCCTAAGGTTTTCCCGAGAAATTGTGCAAATAGATCACCAGTTTCCTTGCTGATCGGAGCATCAAGGTCGTTGTAGACGGTGCATGCTCTGATCTCAAGCCTATCAACGCTGGTGTTCCACAAGGCTGCGTGCTATCACCAACGCTGTTTCTCTATATGTTGCAAACTGGTAACATTCATTGCTATGCAGACGACAGCACTGGTGATGCCTTATATACTGGCTGTGCCAATATTTCTCGGGAAAACGTCGCCGAGTACCGTGACAAACTTGTGTCCGCAGTCGAGTCTTTGCTGAACAAAGTCTCGGATTGGGGGCGACTAAATCTAGTCCAGTTCAATCCCCAGAAGACACAAGTTTGCGCTTTTACCGCTAAAAAGAACCCCTTTGTCGTATCCCTCAGTTTCAAGGCACTCCCCTTGCTGCCTCAGCTAGCATCGGAATCCTCGCCGTCGACATATCGAGTGACGTGCAGTTTCGTGATCACTTGGAAGGGAAGGCCAAATTGGCCTCAAAAAAGTTTGGCGTGCTCAGCAGAGCGAGACAGTATTTCATGCCGGCACATCGCTTGCAACTTTACAAAGCGCAAGTTCGGCCTCACATGGAATACTGTTCTCATCTCTGGGTCTGGGCACCCCAGTGCCAGCTCCTTCCACTTGACCGCATCCAGCGCAGAGCGGTTCGAACCGACGATCGAGTCTTTTCTGATCGGCTCGATACACTGGCACTGCGTAGGGATATTGTATCTCTTTGCATTTTCTATCGAATTTATCAATGGGAGTGCTCTGAGGTATTGTTCGGATTAATTCCAGCCGCCAAATTTCACGAACGCACATCTCGTCAAAATTCACGATACCATCCTCACCATCTGGATGCTTGGCGGTCCACAACTCTACGTTTTAATAGGAGTTTTCTTCCTCGTACAACTTCTCTGTGGAATTGTTTACCACCAGCGATTTTTCCGGACCGATACGACTTAGGGACCTTCAAGAAAAGAGCTTACACCTTTCTAAAAGGCTGGCAACACATCTGCAATTCCCCTGGTGTTGCAGTTGTTCATGGGCGGCGGTAGTCACTTACCATCAGGTGAGCCGCATGCTCGTTTGCCCCCTCGCGGGGTCGCTCAGCAACTGACGCTGGAGTTGAGCTTTTTAAACATATTTTTTGTGCATGGGAGAATTCAGAAGATGCTTTGGGTATATTTTGTGACCTTTCCAAGGCCTTCCACTGCGTTCACCATGAGAAATTAATCAGGAAGCTACAGTACTATGGTGTCAAGAACACGGCGCTTAAACTTATTATTTCATATTTAAATAATAGAATGCAGAAAGTTATTATCAATGGTAAAAGTTCTCCCGGGTCACCTGTACTAATGGGTGTCCCTCAGGGCTCCATTCTCGGCCCATTCCTATTCCTAGTGTATATTAATGACTTACCTTCTCTTGTAGGGGATAATCATGATATAGTATTATTTGCTGATGATACTTCCTTGATTTTTAAACTTAAACGTCAATCATTTAAATGTGACGAAGTGAATAATACTATATAAAATTTAGTGCATTGTTTTAACGTTAATAATCCTACATTTAAACGGAGATAAAACTAAATGTATTAAATTTATAATAACGAATGTTAAAAATCTGAGTACCATTTTTAAATGGGAAAG